AACCGGCAATATATATGACCCTATAAAAAATAAATTTAACCTGACGGATGAACAATGGAAGGAAGAGGGGAAGGTAATTTTTATAACAAATACTATTAGAATTATTTTATAACAAATACTATTAGAATTATTTTTATAAAAATACTAATATTCATAAAAATTGTAAACAGCTGAACAAGTTCGTGTTGTCATTGAAAACTAAACCCCTGCTGTTTCCTGATCTTTGCACCCAACTATTTGAAGGGTCGACCTCAACCGGCTTTCAAAGTTGGGGGCCATCTTCTACACTCCCTCGTCCTGTAGAAGAGTTTAGTGTCCATGATTTTGATGATGATGTTCCAATGGAAACCTCAACACAACACGTAGGTGCAAGTGAAGAATCTTCGGGGCGTTCAAAAAATACGGAAGTTGGTGGAAACAAAAGAGTTGGTGGAAAAAAGAGAGATGCAAGGGCGTTAGAAGTTGAAGAGGAGATTGTCAAGCTTGCAAGGTCGTTAGTGGAAAAAAATGAAAGAATTGAAAAAAGTGAAATGGATAAGGATGTTGATGCGTGTATGGAGAAATTAAACAAAATGGAATGGGGGAAAGAAGATGAAAGACACAAGACCGCTCTTTTGCTATTTGGTGAAAGTGCTGATGTTAGAAAAGTTTGGTTACGACTTTCACATACTAGTTGTGAGTCGTGGGTGATGGGTGCTGGTAGGAAGTATGGTTACCTTTGATGGGTGTGGGTAGAAAAGTTTGGTTATTAGTTTTTTGTTGCATCACTTTTGGATCCTATGTTTGACACTTTGGATGTTACTTTGGATGATGTTATTTGCATGGCTTTTGGCTATTATTGGATGTTAAATATGACTTTTGAATTTACTAGTTTTTTGTTTTATGACTTTCGGATGTTATTGGATATTGAATATCACTTTTGATCCTTTTTTACTTTAACATGTTACCTAATTGTTTGTAACAGGTCAAGTATGGTTTCTGATGGTGAAGTTGTAGCTTTTCTTTTACTTGTGTTTTATTGGTTGAGGTCAAACCGACGCAGACTAATACGAATTCATAGAATTAGAGATAACGATTCAAGCGGGTATGCGTATACGCAAGATTTGATGTACGGAGACCCTACACAATGTTACGATATGATGCGTCTTACACAAGAGGCATTTTCTTTATTATGCAACCATTTTACCCAAAAAAATTGGTTGCAAGCTAGCATGACAATAAGCATTGAAGAGAAATGGCTATATTCTTACATGTTATAGGACATAATGAACGTTTTCGCGCGGTTAAGGGAAGATTTCATCACTCCACACAAACGATTCATCAATGTTTTCATGAGGTCCTAACTGCAATGATGTGTTTTGCAAAAGAAATTATAGTACCAACAACTCCTAATCCAACAAGACATAACTCAGAACGACATAGACGGTTAAAAAATATTTTTTCCGGAGCAATAGGTGCATTAGATGGAACTCTTGTACATGCGGTTGTACCCGTTGATCAACAAACTCGTTATAGGGGACGAGGAAAAGGAGAATGTTTTCAAAATGTTATAGGAATTTGCGATTTTGATATGATATTACCTTTGTTTGGGCTGGATGGGAGGGTATAGCACATGATTCAAGAGTTTTGAAAGAAGTTGCATTCAATTCGACTTCTGGATTTCCATTTCCTCCACCGGGTTTGTAATATTTATATAACTTTTATTATCTATCTTCTTTATATAATATGTGTCACATTCATTTGCAGAGAAGTATTACCTTTGTGATGCCGCATATACAAACACTCGTGGGTTTATGGCTCCATACCGCAATACTAGGTATTGGTTAGCCGATTTTCGAAGAGGCAGACCTTTAACTAGAGAAGAAAGGTTCAACTATGCTCATGCACAACTTAGAAATGTTATTGAGCGTGCTTATGGTGTTTTGAAGGCGAGATTCCCAATCTTAAAACAAATGGCTCCTTATCCTTTTACGTGCAAAGAGACATAGTCATTGCTTGTGTCGCGTCCATAATTTTATAAGGAAATACAATATAGAAGATGACTTGTTTAGAAATTTTGAGGAGGACACTATGGTTACTCCTGACGTCCAAGGTGGGGGAATTGATAGAGAAAACATACAAGGCATAGAATGGGGTCCAGAAGCCGTTGAATATATGCGTGTTTTGCGTGATCAGATTGCAAATCAACTACTTTCACCTACTTTACGTTAAATTATTATGTTATTTTAAATTTCATTATGTTTTTATTTGGATATTAAATGATTTATGTTTAATTTACATTTTGTATGATTTTATTTGTGTGTAATTTACATTTTGTATGACAATATGTATGTTTTTATAATTATTCAGTAACTTAATCCATCAGTATATATAACAGAAGGGTAAAATAGTCATTTTTCATCACTCAGCACATTAAGTCAGATGTATAATCAAACAATAACATTTCTTACTCAGTCAGGATTTCTTACCCAGACAGACCTTTCCCAATCAGCACTTTTTCAATCAGCAACTATCAAACGGGACCTAACTTTCAAAAACCCCTGCCACGATCACGTGCTCATCGTCGACTTATCATGTGACTTCTCCTCCGCCACCCCGACCCCCACCCCACCCCCAATCACAACCACTGTACTCTCTTTCTTCCCCTGTAATTTGCTCCCTCTCCCTCACAGAGCTTCACAACACTCCCTTTACACATCTACATTTCTAGGGTTTTTTGTCCTTTTGCGCACAAACTTCATCAAAAGAGCTCTGAACTAGTTTTATGTGAACAAACTTCATCAACAATGGGCTGCTTCCAGTCCAAAACCGCCAATGTTCAAACTCCTGATCAAGTCCCTGAATCCAAACCAGATCCAGGTACTATTTCACTATCATCATATATTTAAAATATCAGAACACTTACACTGATTTCCGATGTCGAATCTTGTCCTTTTCAAAACCCAAATCATGTAATAACAGCAACATTATTCTATTTGCTTATTGTCGGTATTTCTAAGTTAAAAAGAAGTATTATTTTGGATTTTTGATACCATGGATACTGATTGATTGTTTTCTTGTTATAAATTGCTAAAAAAGCCAATGGAGATGAAGCATCAGATCAACAAGATCAAGATCAAGGAGTCCCCGCATTCAAAGAGTTCGAACTGACGGAGCTTCGAGCGGCTACAAATGGGTTCAGCAGCGAGCTTATAGTTTCAGAGAGCGGAGAGAAAGCTCCGAATGTGGTTTATCGAGGGAAGCTTCGTAGCAATAAAGTCGTTGCCATTAAACGTTTTTCCAAGCTATCTTGGCCCGACCCACAACAATTCGTGGTATGTATCTATGATTTTTGTGGCTTCTTTCTGCTTTTCATATTCAGTTTCTAGGTTTTTTTTTTTTTTTTTTCTTCTTTAAACAATGCTAAAGAGCTTGAATTGTGTTTCATGAGCACTGATTTCATAGCAATAAATTTACTTACGGAAGTTCTTGTTAAAAAATCAAAATTTCGCGATAAAGAAATGAAGTGAAAATGACTTGCTCTCTGTTGCAAATTGTCCCTTTTATGATTGTGAGCTTTAATAGGGAAAAGTTTGTTTCTATGAAAAGTGAGATAATGATTTCTTTCCTTTTTGAATGAAAAGGTAAAGCAATTTAGGGTTACCAAGAAAGTTGCTTTCTTAAGAAATGTGGTGGCCTTCTTGACACAAATACACATAACAAAATGTTAATTCCACAATGAAGGCTTTCTAGCTTTAATTTTGCTTTTTATTTGCAATTGTGAAATATTCAAATATCCTAAAACGGGTGGTTTTATTATTTGCTCTCGATCTTTTGCTTGTGCAAAAGACGTAAATACCCTCCTCATCTCATAGTTATATCTTATTGAGCATTCTTTATAGGCAGAAGCTGCTGGTGTTGGCAAAGTCAGACACAAGAGATTGGTCAACTTAATTGGGTGTTGTGCTGAGGGAGAAGAACGTCTTTTAGTCGCTGAATACATGCCCAATGATACCCTCTCAAAGCATCTATTTCATTGTATGCTTTTCCATTATAATTTATACACAATACAACACACAATTCTTTTCTCTTCTCACTTTTCACATGTTACAAATGTTAGGGGATAAACAACCTTTGCCATGGGAAATGCGTGTGAGAGTTGCAAACCATATTGCACAAGCTCTTGATCATTGCAATACTGAAAATAGGAAAATCTATCATGATCTAAATGCATATAGAGTCCTCTTTGATGAGGTACAAAGTACAATACATCTTTTCCTCATGTTATGTACTTGATAAATGAATAATCTTTATTTGTAAATAAAGTTTTATTGTACTTTTTTTTTTTTTTTTTTTTTTGTGATAGGATGGTGATCCTCGGTTATCTAGTTTTGGTTTGATGAAAAATAGTCGAGATGGGAAGAGTTATAGTACTAATCTTGCTTATACTCCCCCTGAGTTTTTGCGTACAGGTGGCAACTCTTTCATACTTTTTCATATTTTATAACTTCAGGACTTAAAATGGGGATTGAGGGTAAATTTGTAAAAAAGTTAAGGACTTAATGAGAAAGTCTCATTTTGTGTTTTGCAGGCAGGGTTTTTCCAGAGAGTGTGATTTACAGCTATGGAACTGTCTTACTGGATCTTTTGAGTGGAAAGCATATACCTCCAAGTCATGTAAATATACATATATATATATATTTTTTATCAGATTGAAGTCCATTAAGTAAGAAAGAAAACAACACTAATTATTATGTGTTTGATTATTTCTATTCAGGCATTAGATTTAATACGTGGAAAAAACATATTGTTGTTGATGGATTCATCATTGGAAGGGCAATATGGTGATGAAGATGCAACTGCAATGGTGGAACTTGCTTCAAAGTGTCTTCAATACGAGGGGCGAGATCGTCCAGATATTAAGTTTCTTCTTACATCAGTTGCCCCTTCAAAAACAGACAGATGTGAGACTACACAGTCTTACTTATTATTATTTTTTTTTATATTTCCCATATTGGATATTATAAAATATTATTTTGAGGACAAATGTGTAAAATTTGCAGGTTGCATCACATGTGCTGATGGGTTTGATAAAAACAGTAACTCCAGTGGCAGTGGCAGTGGCAGTGGTCCCCACCATAGTTTCTCCTCTTGGAAAAGCATGTGCAAGAATGGATCTTACTGCAGTACATGACATGTTGCTTAAAACAGGATACAGAGATGAAGAGGGGGCCGAAAATGAGGTGAGTATAATGCATAATAACAATGTACTTTTTACTCTTGTTAACAATATGGGAAATGCATTTTATTTTTGATTCATAATGGCAATAAAGTACATTGCCTATATTGGTAAAAAGATAAAGATAATTTGTATCATGTTGGTAAAATCTTATGTTGTTGAAGCTGTCATTCCAAGAATGGACCCAACAAGTGCAAGACATGCTAAACACAAAAAAGTTTGGAGACATTGCATTTAGGGACAAGGATTTCAAAGGTTCTGTTGAACATTATTCCAAGGTAATTAATTAATTCTTGATTAAAAAAAAAAACAAATACGAATTTCAATTTAGCCATTTTCTTGTTTCAAAATGCACAGTTGGTTTCAATGATGCCGGTCCCTTCGGGCACGATTTTTGTGAGACGGGCACTTTCTTACATGATGATCGGGCAGCCTGAGCTTGCATTGCGAGACGCAATGCAAGCTCAGGTGTGTTTGCCCGAGTGGCCCACCGCGTTTTACATGCAAGCGTTGGCTCTTTCTAAGCTTGGCATGGAAACGGATGCTCAAGATATGCTCAATGATGGCTCCGCATTTGAAGCCAAGAGGCAAAATAGTTGGCGCAACTAGCCTTTGTATGTATGTACGAATCTGATGCGTACTTTGTTGTTGTACACATCAGATGCGTACTTTGTATGTATCAGATGCGTATGCATCTGATACATAAAAGTGTGTGTCAAACACAAATTAAGGGTAATCGAAGAAAGTTTGGGTTCTTAATATGCTATGAAGCTAATGAGATAGGCCCGGACGCAATTGGGTTTATTTAATGGGGGGAGGGGTTGGGCACGATTGTTTATTGTCGTTGTGATGTAGACTATAGTATCATACGTAGAATTTGTATAAAGTGCCTTAAAGTTAAAAGGCTTGTATTCGAGTTTAAGTTATTTATGTGTCGTTTGCTTTTACCCTTTTTTTAAAGTGGTCGACATAGTTTGGTTTAGTTTTGGTTTTTTACTAAAACTAAAATGAAACCGGAAGGATTCGGTTTTCATCTCCAAAGAAACTGATTTTATTTGGTTTAAGGTTAATTTTATTGGTGTTTTTAACCACATAAAGCACTGAAAGTAGCAATCAAATGCAAGAGTAAGGATGAGCAAAGGAACCGATCCGGCTCGAACCGGTCCGGGAATTGAAGTCGGCCGAAATTAGGAACCGAATCGGACCAGTGGTTCTATCGGTTCTAGCCGATTCTTATCGTGTCTTTAATGTTGGAACTGGTCCTCGAGAAATAGCAACAAAAGGTTCTAGTTTTTGTCGGTTCTACCACTTCCGTTTCTAACGGTTCTCATTCCCGGTTCCAAAAATCCACAAAAATATCGTCCCGGCCCCGCCCGAACGGTTCTATCCGGTTTTGGTTCCGAACGGTTCCCTAGTCCAATGCTCATTCCTATGTAGGAGCTTGTTGAAATCAGAATCATTGAAAGCTTGAAATTTTAAATATTTATCGAATCTTGCGATATAATGGGGAAAAAAACTATAAATTCATATCTAAGAACAATAACTAAAGGGAGTGCAATGAAAACCACAAAGAGGCTAAAGAATTAATCATGTAAGGAAGTTGTAAAAAATGATAGTTAAGAACTAATATATCTAAACCCATCTAAAAAGTAAAAACCATTATATTTTGATCATTTTAATAATATTTCAGTTTCATCAGTAAAAACTATTAATATTTTATAATTTTTTCGAAGTCAATAGCTTTTAAGTCACAAATATTTTGTCAAGATTTAGTGTTTTAGAGGATACAGAATAGGACTAAACAACGTCGTTATAGTCTACATAGACATGTCTTAAAGACATCATAATATGGGTAACATTGCCCCCTCCCCCTGGTGGTGTCATATTGCTTCTCGTAGTCGTTATTCCTTTCCATGTGGAAGAGATTGTAATTTATTTTATTTGTAATGTCTTTTATTTGTTTTTATCAGTAGAATATATGTCATGTGTTGATAGGTTACATGTCATGTATCAATAGGTAAATTGTTCTATATAGAATGTGACGTGAGATGTAATATAAAATGTCTACTCCTCCATAGTCTAGGGGCTATATTGTAAATATGTTTGTCGAATTTTTACAAGACGACAAACATATTTACAATATAGCCCCCCTAGATTATGGAGTGCTTCTCGTGGTCGTTATGACATTTTGCAATGTGAGGTTAAGCCAATCAAATCATTTTTCTTCCTCTCTTTACCTCTTAATATGTTATAAGATAAGAATACTATTTTTTATATGGTGTTAATGTGGTGTTAAGGTGGTGTTAAGGTTGAGATGACATGTAGAAATAGTGTTATAAGTGGCCATATTTAATGCTCTTAGTCTAAACATTCTAATAAAACCACGCATTTTGACAAAAGAATTATGTACTTACTACTTTAACCTAGTGCAATAATGGTCCATACAAAAAAAAAATATCAAAATTTAGGAGTTTTCATCAACAAAACTGAAATATAACGGTTAAATAAAAAAATAGTGAGTAATCTAACAACTTTTGAATGTTTATTTGAAAAAAAATAACCAAAGTTTTTCTTTTAGCAAAAATAATCCCTTTGTCTGGAATGAACATTCCGAACCAAGAAAAAACACTTTTTTACTGATTCTGGAACGGTATTCCAGACTACTATTCACATTCGCGACTAAAATTTCGGATTCTGAAAAAAGAGACTCTGAAATTTCAAAAACAAGTTCGAATCCGAAGAAAATTTTATTAATTTCGAAAAAAATATGTTTTTACTTAAATATAACAAAAGTTAAACAAATATGTTAAATATAAACTATATACGATATTAGTGCATAAAATTATATATTTTATTGAAAATTGTGATATTAAATAATTAGAAATGAACATTTCGGACATAAGTGAGGATATTTTTCCAAAAAAAAGGAAAAACCAAAAAATAATTCCGGAATTTAAAGATCAAACCCGAAACGGGACATTATTTGAAAAAAAATGAAAAGTAGTCCGGAATGAGGCATTTAGGAAATTGTGATCATTTTTTAAAAACTAAAAAACAAATAGTTATTTTCTTTAAAAAAAACTCATTTATATGTCATTTATACGAGTTAGATTACTCAATTTCCCAAATAAAAATGATCAAAATATGGTGACATTTATGTATTTGGTCCAAGATAATTTACAAATGGCATCACATTAAGATTGATTCAAATCCTTTCTTATTTCTGGATTTAAGACAAAACAAAATTGCTTCTTATCTAAAATTAAACATAATTGCTTCATTTCTAAAATTAAACACAACGGTTATATATATATATATATATATATATATATATATATATATATATATATATATATATATATATATATATATATATATTATTTTTAGTTTGGTTTTTGTTTCTTTTGCATAAGAAAAAAAGTCAGACTAGGAAAGAGCAAATTATTTGCAAAAGAAGGGGAAAATAACTTAGAAAGTAATAATAACAAAGTGTTGAACTTGTTTGCATTTGGTTCCTTATCTTTTTTTTTGTCCTTATTATACCTGTTATTCCTGCTCATAAAAACTCTCGCAGCTGGTTATCACATGTTTTGTCGGTTTCCTTATTTTAAAATGTTTAATTACAGATGACATGTCGTATTACATGGACTTAGAACACATTTCATTCTCGTTTCTCTTTCACCCCCTTTCTCCTTAAACTTATGGTTCATAGTGAAATTGAAGACAACAGTTCAATCGAAGATTACGGTTACGAATTGAAGAGAACCGGTGAATGTGAGTGCTATAGTGAAGAAGATAGCCTCTGATTTCAAATGATGCAAGTATTTGATAGTTTATGTACATTATAATGTTTTGTTCACATCAAAACCATTAGTGTACTTTAAACGTTGTTGTTTCAATCTATGATGTCGATTTTGGTGCAATGGATCTAAAGTGTTTATTTTGTTTCTTGAAAAGTTGATTGAAGCTAGTTGCGATAATGTATATTACTGTACTAGAAATGAACCATGTCAGAGGGTATTAGGAGAATTAGGAATGATGCTGACTACTTTAAATTTATTGATATGGGTTATAGTGATGAAAATGGTCTAAGAATGAATGTGTATATAGACCACGAAAATGAACGTGTACTTGATTGGGCTGATATGGAAGTAGTAGAAGATGATGAAGAGCATGATTTTGAGCAAGACCCGGATGATGAAAATGATTCACAACTTTCTGATGATATTCCATACGAACATGAAGCAGATGATGAGATTCCTTTTCTTGAGAAGACTATTGGTGATGAATTTTTGCACCAAGTGTTAGGTATTTGTAAGGATACAAATAATGAGATTGAAACCAACAATCGGGATGGAAAACCAGTGTACCCTATCGATAATGAGAACCATAAATGGGACAGAATGATGCCAATTCTAGGTATCAGATTCTCTAACACTCTAGAATTGAAATTTTGTGTGACTAACTATGCAATGAAGAATAATTATAACCTTTATTATGAGAAAAATGATAGTTAAAGGTTGTTAATAAGATGTTGTAAAGATAACAAGAACCCTTCTTGTCCTTTTAGACTGTGGGCTTCTTAGATGAGTAGTGAAAGGTCTTTCCAGATTAAGTCCTTAATTGATGACCATAATTGTTCAATTCTTCAAACTTGGTTCCATTGTAACATATAAATGGATTGGAAAACATTTTAAGAATAAGCTTTTGCAGAACCTGAAAATGGGCATAAGGAAAGGTAAGTACAAAGTTTAACTTGATTGTTAGTGTGAATCAATGTAGAAATATTAGGAGATATGTTTTGGATGAGATAGAGGGTAGTTTGATAGAACATTATGGTAAAGTATAGAGTTATGGAAAAGAAATAATGAGGAAAAATCATGGTTCAATAGTAAAGATAGATGTGGATGTCATGCCTGAGTCCATCACTTACTTTTCTAAAATGTATGTTTTGTTTTAAGGATGTGAAGGGTGGGTAGATTGCATCCTACAGGAAGGAGGGTAATAGGGGTAGATGATTATTTTTTAAAGGGTATATGTAAATGTCAACTATTAGCAGCTATGGATAGGGATGCAAACAACCATATCTTCCCTATTGCATAGTTGTGGTGACAGTTGAAAATAAGGAAACATGTAAATGGTTTCTTGACTTCCTATTGGATGACATTGACATGGGACTTGTTCATGGATTGACCCTCATTTTTAAGGGTTTCGTCTCCAACCATTCCCATAAATTGCATTTTGGTCCTTTATTCTTGAAAAAAGAAACAAATTGGTTAAAAGAAAATGATTAAACAATAAAGTAAAAACATTTGATTTACCATGGAGTTAAGGCACAATCTGATTTTTTTCCCCCAAATTATCTTTAGTTCGTACGCGAGATGGTAACCCACAATTACAAGGATTTTCAGGTTGAAATTCAGCATTTCGTTTGGAAGAGATAAAAGAAAAAGTGGCCATGTCGATCTATGACACAATTGATGAAAACGACGCATACAACAACTTAATATCGTAGGAGTTACATTTAATAAGCCAAGTAGATCCCACATAATGCCACGTAATAACCACATAAACAGGAATAATAAGGATAAAAAAAAAAGATAAGAGATCAAATGTGAGCAGGTTCAAACACTTAGTTATCTTCCTAAATCATTTTTCCCAAAAGAAAGCATATAGCTATCCAAGAGTTGAGACCTTTAAAAGTTATACCTAGGACAACTCTTGAATTTTTTTTATTTTTATATCATTATTAATTTATTTGAATTTTTTATTTTTATTTTATTATTATTATTATTATTTTAACTCAAGATGTGACAAGAGAAAAACATTGAAATCAAACACTTTTCTTTCGATTTAGTTGCAATAGATACATAAGCCTAAAGCTATTACAAAGTAGATTCTAACCACATAAAAATCACAAAGAATGTTTTAATTTTTTTAACCTCCAATCATTGATAAAACCTTCTGTTTACACCATTTCACATTTCCACCCTTGTTCAACATTTTTATTTCTATTTTATTCACGCCTCATTCGTCTTTCTTTGTTTTGTGATGAACGGAATATGAAGGGTGACCACAAATATTATGGGCCATTCGGCTCTCAACCTGAAGATGAAGGGTGGTTGTTGTAGATTTAAACCCGTTAAGGGCCAGATTTAAAAATTGAAGTGATACGTCCATTTCTAAGCTGTTTCATCATTTGGAAGCAAATCTGCTGCACTCTTGCGATTTCTTAACATATCACGAACCTTGTAATTTCCTCCATTTCCATCATTATCTTTCTTCATAAATTGAAATCCCATAAGATACCTGTATTCCCCCGTCCCAAGACACCTTGAGCAATAGCCAAGCCCACTCCCACCACATGTCTTGCACCTGTGTAAAACCTCAAATCGGTCAAAAAGTCAAACATTATGTTGCATAAATATACATTTATGGGATGAACACGGTTACATATTTTGGTTATAGATTGAAAACATGGATGCATAATTCGTTGAAAAAAAACATTTTTTTTTAAAAATGCTCAAGATTTAGGATACTTTACCATTTTGGCCACTCCCCATTTGGAAGCATTGCTAAGTCAACATTGTTTGTCCTTCCTGAAACAAATTATAAAGAAACATCACTTGTAACACATACATGACAAACACAATACAATATGTTCTGTTCTTCGTGTAACAAACGGGCCCACAAGAAAAGGAAAAACTAGCAAGTGTTGATGCATTTGTGTTTTTTATGGAAGTGAGGGAAAGAGCTAACCTTTTCCACAACAATCAAAACAATCTACTCTTCCACTCCCTTTGCATACAACACATGAAGGATCTGGTTTTTGTCTTTTCTCTAATCTAACATTAGACTGCATGAAAAAAAAGAGCAACTTGGGTATCAGGTATTCTTCAAAAACACCAACAAAACAAGGGCAAATCAAGAATTCCATTTTCAACTAAAACATAATGCCTTCGTTGATTCACTTTACTTCTAGCTATTTCCTATGTTTTCGACTTATATACAAACAATTAAGAGGTCAAATGAGCATGGGAAGTTCGATTTGATCGCCTGTAAACGGAACAAACTTTGTATCGGATGAGATCTAAACAGTCACAACTTCAAATAATCAAAACCTGTTCAAAATCGCAACAGTTTTCCCCAAATCCATAACTCTCATGCTCCAACTATTTGTCAGGTTTCGATCAATACAGTAACGGATAATTAAATTAAGTTTCATTACGAATTACAGCAGCAACAAAACCAGCATGTATAAATATCAATTTAAGAAAGTGTTACCTTACCTCTGTTCTAACAATCCAAGATGGCTTCGGGGCTGATAGCAGAGGGGTTCGAGGCGGTGGCGGTGGCGCTGATGGTACTGGTAGGTTGCGATTGTCCGGAGGCGGTGCACCATTGCTTGAATTTGTGGCCTGGACGGCTGTTCGCGTGAAAAGATTGGATACTGTTCCGGTAAAGACTATCATTTTTGTGCGGGTTATGAGTAACTTTATCCATTTATGTATGTACAAGAGTGCCTTTGGTTAGGTGGGATTGACTTAATTTGGTGGAACTGGAATATGAATTTTTATGTTTGGTTGTGAAATTGAATGGAATTGGATTTAAAAGGATTCCATAAAAATTTTATTTGGTTGATTTTAATATATTTTTAACATTTTTTTTCTTTGATAAAGAAATTATCTATGACCTTTAGATGGAACATACATAAAGGGTCTTGTGTCATTCGAAGACAACCACATATATAAAACAAGAAAATTTTGCGCCAAACGTGTTATGTATGTGTTCACAAGATGTACAATTTATCGATGTAATAGGATGGGAATGTCGGTTATGGATGGTCGAGTTTCATGATGCTTTTCTTAGGTCACATGGATTGAAAGTTCCAAAATCATGTATGTAAATATAGATTTTAAGATTTAAAATATAGCTATAATGTGTTTATTGACTATGATGTATTTTTCATGTTATTAATTGGTCTATGTGGATAAAAACATAAATGGTGAGGGTTTCTTCACCCATTATAGAGGTCACATATATTATTTTTAATGATTGTTGTGATGGAACCAACATGCTATTCAAGGAATTCAACATGAAACATTTATCTTCACACATGTTATATAAAGAGATTTTGGCATTTTGAATCAAGGTGACGATTTTAAAAGATGAACCGTATTATGAAACATCCATTATATATGTACTTTGCAATAGTCAATTTGAAACCCCTTTTTAAAATAGTTTTCATATCATTTGAGTAAATAACATGCGGAAAACTTTCCAACATATCAAAAAACTTTTAACATTGAGAGTACATTATCAAAAGTTCATACGATGGCATCATAATTAACAAAATAAGTAATTGTAAAGTGTCTAGCTATTTCAAATATACCATCATTATTAATCTTTAAATATCATCAAGCTTCTTAGCCTGCATAACATCACTAAATACCTGCTACTAACATAAGTACATGTCAAAATAGAAAGTATGACGTGGAAATCCTAGTTAACCGGAGAGGATCTAGACATCATAAGAATAATACATAAATGAACAAACATTTTATATATAAATGTAACAACCTCATAACTTCATCAAAGTTTATTTAAAATTTCTTAATATTTCTTTATAACTTTTTTAAAGCTATAGAACTACATTTTTGGAAAAACATTATATAAGTCAAAGTATTTTGTTATAACCTCATAAATGGGCTTTCGGTGCCTTGCCACGACTCCCCGTTTTTGCAAGGATAAGAGGTGATGGCTTGCTCCTTAGGAGATACGTTAAGACATCTAAGTGCATTGCATACCCTTTCCTCATAAAATCTTAATTAAACCCCTCAGGTTTCGAACGTTGCACCTCCCATGTGTAAGGCAATACCTTACCTGATAAGGGCGGACTCCAGTTACTTGATTTTATATAATGTAACAAAACATCATAAACGAAAATACATGTAATAGTGTAATGCATGATATTTAACAAGGTACCGAAAATATAAAAGTAATATTATCTTACATTTTCATTATACTACGTCTTTAAGGTGCTCTCAAGGTAGACCCGATGGAAAATGATGGTTGTAGAGGCATGTGTGTTGAATATATGTTGATGTGTTGTGTGATATTCAATATATGTCTCTAAAACCATCATTTTTGACAGTTGATGGAGCTGATCTCGTAACGATTGAACTCGTTCAATAGAGGGGTTGATATATGCGTGTTCAAGAACAATCCATATTTGTTGAGCAGTGGAAAGACTTACGATTTTAGAAAAAGTTTCCTCCGTAAGTGATGTTTGGAGAAGAATGATAGCCCCTTGATCGGTGTGCAACCATGTCCACGAATGGAGCAAGTGTGTTGGTATTAACCGCAAAGGCAACTAAAGGAGAAATAGTATCATGTAAGGAGTGTAAAAATAACTCATGTGCTTCAGCTTGAGCAAGAAGATCATGAAAAGTAGTGGGAGATCGGGAGGCTCGAATAATAGTTAAAAAGGTCTCAAATGATGAATTGAGACCACACA